TCCGGAATGATCGCTTTCACCTCGGCTGTTGTGCCGGTATCACAGAAGAGATGTACATGGTCCGAACAACGCACTTGAGCGTGCAGTGAAAGTCTGGCAACAGCCACTTGCTGCAATCGTCTTTTGGATGAGCAAGCAGCGACACACAATAGCAAGCACTCCGATTGGACAGAGCAAAGATATTGCAAAGCAGCGGCCACAGCAAGCGTTCGGGGCAGCTGCAGTGTCGATCACAGAATCTACGTTGAAAAGAAACGAATGGCAGGGATCTTGAAAAAGTAGACCAGAGGAGGCAGCTCTAGTTCCAAACCCCAGGGCAACACGCAGAATGAGGGAGCAATTTCGACACACCGTTGTGAACACAATTACATCGCAGGACTTTTGCGACAGGGTGGCAAGCGACACACATCAAAAAAGATTCGTAGTTGCTTCAACTACAGCCAGAGTCGCTGCATTGGAGATTTGCCGGAGGCCGGGGCGTTTAGACAGCATGGGTACCAGGGAGCCATGTAATGGTAACTTTATCCCAGGCCCCTGGTCGACTCTTCGATTTTTTGGGTTTTGAGGGGGGATACGTAGTAGGACCTGTGATTTTCACAGTTTCCTCGTCCAAAGTTTGGGCTTGCGTCCCACACGCCCACCGGCAAATCCCCACCCCTGGCCCTTCCCGAAGACGGGCATAGCGGAGCTCGGACCGGCTCCGCGGCCCTCGGATGACATGAGACATGAGACGATATCGTAATGAAGCAAGCAGAGCAGTTATCAAAATCTCTTTTCAATCCGTTGACGCTATCAACCCCTTCCGCGTTTAGGGTGCGCGCAGCTTCCGCGGCGCCAACTGTGCCCGTGGGTCAGCTCTTAAGCTTTAAGCCTTCCGCGCGCCCTTCCGCTTTTCAGGTGTTTACGCCCACCCCTTTCGCAAGATACCCTTGCCCACACCATCCCACACCCCTTCCGCGCATCGGTTTTAAAGCTACCGGTCCGCAAGCCTTCCGCGCATGCGACTGTAGCTTCCGCGCCCATTCGTTAATACCGGCCCTAGTCTGGCTAGCTCTTCGATGGTTTAGCTCTCCGCTCGGCAGGCAGGTAGCAGGGTCCCAAGGACGCAAAGCATCATTGCAAGCATACGAGTGAAGCCAACAAGAAGCAGGCCATCAAATCAGCCGGTGCAGAGCCCAGAACAGAAGATACATCCGCAAGGGGCCCTGGCCCATTTAGCATCGTTAGGCCAAGAAATGGAACACGTGCAGGGAGGAGCATGAACTTGCACGAGGGATCATGAAGTCTCACTTGCGCTCGCGCGCTTCACGGCGGGCCTTGCTCATGACTCTTGAAAGCTTTAGTGCTGGCAGGGTGCCGATTTCGATGGAGATACGTTGACCAACGAGGCCTCCTAAGCCGGAGGGCATCAGCCTGTTAACTGAAGAGCTGTCTCACTGTGCTGTCAAGCGACTTGGACCATGGAGGACAAATGCTGCTCATGAGACTGTGCGGTGCCAGGTAAATTAAAAGCCTCCCTGAAACGGTCAAGCCGTGTTGCAGAGGATTTCATCGATCGCCTTGCAGTCGACTTCCGTCGTGTGTTCCTGAAGGGGCGCGGCTGAAGGGGCGCCTGGGCTTCTACTCTCTGGGACTCTGGGGCCGCTGGGGCCGGTTCAGTTGGAGTTGCCGGGCCGTCGCAGCCTCCAGCGCATCCATCATCCCATACCTGAGCACGGTACCGGTGGGCTGCAACTCCTGGGCTGCCCTCGAAGGCCAAAAGGCTAAGCCTTTTGGCCAAGTCGCTGCGTCGAGTTCCTCCTCCTGTCTCGGAGGAACTGCTGCCGATGATGATGGAACTGCTTCCTGGGCAGGCGCTCGCGATACTTCCCACTCTGGCAGCAGACACCTCTTAGAATACCTGTGCGAATGCCTGAGCAGACCACCCTGCAAATCCAGGAAAGTCCAACAAATTTTGGGCAACCGATCACCTGCTACAACTATCCCGACGCCCGGCTACTGTACCCAAGAGCTTTCTGCACTCATCGGCGTGCTGTTGTCTCTGCCAGGCTCGAGGGCATGTACGAGTTTGCAATGTTTGCATGCTTCGATGCTGCGCGTTGTGCAATGATCTAAACACCGGTCGCTGAGCGATCTGCCGCACGCAAGATTAAAACAGGGGACACTGCATAGACAGCACTGCAGCCTGGCACGCAAAGGGGAATCCGAAAACAGCTAACCACAAACCCAACTAATGGACCTTGACTGACTCCTACGCAAACCAAGTCATTCACCCTGCCTTCAAGCAGCTCCAACGCTGAACATGTCCCGGGCTCAGAATCTAACAGTCGAAGACTTGTGCTGCTGGTGCAGTCAAAGAGTCCCGCCAGCCATCGATTTTGTGACGAACGCTGCGGAGATGTTGGACTTCGTTGCCTAGTGCATCCACTGTGCATCCACAGCTTCAGCTTCATCAAGCTTCGCAGGCATGCGACTAGCTGCCAGAGAGATCCGCTGAGCTTCTACAACTCAACATACTCAACTTGCATCCATGGGGCACGCACTGCTGCCAGTGAGTCCGACTTGCGGCGGCGAGTGTTCGACTGCGCAAGACATCGAAGGGTGCAGCAGAGTCGGGAGCGGGATACAGGGAAGGACTCGCGCTGCCACGGCGGAAGTCCGAGGATGGAGTGGCTATGAGTGGCTGTGTCTTCTGAGGCTCCGCCAGGGACAAAAGGCCTTCATCACGAGGCTGCGGGATCCGGCATAGGCAGGGAGTGCCCAGCTCTGTCCACCTGGCTAAGCATTTGGACAGGGGCGGCAGAGGTTCCTTCGACACCACGTGCCTCCTTCTGGTGCGACGGAATGGTGCAGACTGCCCGGAAGAGTGGCAGGCATGTCCTGGGCCAGATGAAGCACTCCGCGAAAAGATAAGTCGCATACGCAAGGGGATCTGATCAGCCCAGATCAGCTCAGGATCTTCGGAAGGTTCCTGAAAGCAAGGCTCTCTTGGCTGTCACTAGGAAATGGGCAGCCGCCACAGCGTGCCTTGGCGATCTCCGGAGCCTGAACCTGTCACGCAGAGAAGGTCAGAGAGTCAAGCGGCCAAGGACAAGGCCGGCCTGGATTGGCTCTCTCGACTGCCCAGAGGCACCGTCGGAGCCTGTGCTCCGGGCGCGGATGCCCGGAAAGACATGCAACGAAAGGAAAACTCTTGCAGAGCGGCCGGAAGGCCTCCGCGTTTCAAGCTTGACTTGGAGCCCATTCGTTGATGCTCTCCGGACCTTGGATGGCTCCTTCTCGTTTCGGGGGTCAGGGATGATCTCAGAAGCTGAAACCAAGAAACATTTTCGGATCAGCGGTGCGTGTGCCTGAGTGGGTAGGAGGGTTCTGCAAGTAGGTCATGCTGCAGAGCAGATGCAGCCAACAAGCCCAGCCCAAGCGCATATCTGACGTCTTCGACGGCCACCATCTGATGAGACAAGCACCTCGTGGTGGCTTCCGAACACTTGCATACGCTCGGGTAATAGGTACAGGTCGCTCTGCACAGCTGGCCCTGGGACATGGATGTCTGAATACTTCAGCCAAGGCCGCATCTCCATCCTCTGCACTGCACTCTGTAAATTCCCCAGAATCTGTCGGATATCGACGAGGCCCACGACCTTGCAGGGAAGACCCTGCACACTGGCGATGCTGTGCTGGCACCCAGCCTGTTCGTGGATATCGTCAATGGATCCCATGGAGCCCTTGAGGTGAGTGAAGTGGCTGAAATCCTCGAGAGCTACAACTCTCCACAAAAGTCAGGGGAGCAACGGCCGGTCGTCCTGAGAATAAGTTGCAGGCGCAACGAAGGCAATACCTTGGACGGGTCAGTTTCGCTCTGCACAGCTGCGAAAGAACTGGCTACTGCAATCAGACTCTCCGCACCGAAGGGGATACCAGAATCAAACTCTGGTACATCAACCGTAAATAAATCATGTGCAATTATTCTGACCGAGAGTGCTGGAAGATGCCGAGACCACGCGGCCCATCGCAGTGTCGAAGTTCGGCGAGCGTCGCTCCGCCATTCTCCGCCGTTGCGCTATGCGGCAAACGGCAGCCACATCAAGCCCACTGCTACAACACTGGGTCCACACCACCACGTCTCTGACGTGTGGCCATGAAGGGGTTTCTTCCTTCATGTTTCAGGAATCTAGCTCAAGGGTGTGCGCACTGGCAGCCACTGGCAACAACTCTGGACTCTCATACCTCATAGGTTTGACTTGGCGGGGCATCTTGGAGCTTCTCGTTGGCTCTGACTCCTTGAACCTGGTATTCTCCGCACGGCAGGAACATAGGAACCATGCATTGTAGCTCACCAGCTTTGGGTCTCAAAGGGAGGCGGGCAAGCAAAACGAAAAAGAAACATGCCGGGCTCCAGTTCCGGAAGGCTTTCTTGAACACAGGCTGGGCGGATCAATTCACCCACATGGTCTGCCCTCCTGCCATTGGACCACAGGGCCAAATCGCAACTGGCCCTCGGCGCACGGCCGCGACATTCGCAATGTAACACAAAATCGCGACACGACACACAGCCGAAGGCTAAAGACTTCTCGAACCTCAGCCAACTCGACACCAGAAGTGTACCATCTTCTCGATGTTCTCTGAGCTGCCGACAGAACACCCGTTGCCATTGCAGCCATGCTCCAAACATGGGCGACAGTGACAGAATCCCGTCTACAAATAAGGTCGCCTAGAACAGTCAGTAAAAGCTTGTACAGTATGTGCTGGGCCTGCGAGTCTGTTGCGGGCTAATGTGCAGACACAGCTCGGGGTTTCCAACTCAGGCTTTCTCTTTGGACTCTTGCCCGAGGCGATCAGGGAACGCAGGGACACATTCTCCAGCAGGTGTTTTTGCGGCTACTTCCATGGTATTGCGATTGCGGTGTCGTCGTGGGCTGCGCAATAAGGAGGCTTCAGTCACAAGCAGATGTCAGGGGCGACACCTGAACATGCGAACTGCTTCCCTGAACTCGCCGAGCCTGCTCTGCTGCGCCCCGAGCAGCTGCAAAGAGGTCCAAGTTGTCCGAGACCCCAGAAGCGGACTGTTGGGATCCAGAGCATTCCAGAAGGCTCACAAACAAACGAATCGCTTGCTCGGATTCTCGCAGAGCTTTATTTCAAGGATACTTAAACCCCACGGATGTCACTTCTAGCTGTCTCCGGGCGTGTCCAAACCAGTATCAGGGTTACGGAAGCGCCGTGCAGGCCAGGAAGCTGCTTGAATCAGGCATGCCAGAGCCCACTGTAGCTTGTCATGGCTGCCCTTTCCGTCGAACATGCCAACCTCCGCATGGGTGAAGAGTTCACCGATGCCGCCTGCTAAGCTGCCTGCAAGATATTGAAAACTGGCTTCTATTCAGGTCTGCTTCGATGTGAATACCAGAACTTCGTTCAGTTTTGCTGCTTCTTGCTTCAGAGCTTCTTGCATTGATGAGAGAACTGAAACCCTGAATTTACAGCAACTGGACACATCCAGTGTGCCACTAAACACGAAGATCCTGTCGGTGACCGGCCATGATTTTCGGCAAAATTTGCTGTGGGATGGCAGGGGCAAGTTGAGTGAGCTTCTATATGCACATGAAAAAGTGGTGTTTGCGCACAGGGAGAATCGTCACCGGAAAAAAGTCATACACCTCACCAGCAAAAGCTTCACAGTTAAAGTTTCATCGGTTCGGGAAAACAGGGAAAACTGAAAACTCAAAATCGGAAAACTTTCTAAAGAGCGAAGGTCGAAGACACGTGGGGAGAGGGCAGAATGCAAGGAACGACTGCGAAATAAAAGCACAAAATGACTTCCGGCCAAACATGTTTTTCGCAAAACAAGAACGCCATCAACCAACAAGCACGATGGCCGCAATAAAAGTACTGTAAAGCGCGTCTGCAGTGACACTGTATGACACACCAGTACGCAAGTTGGTACTACAAGCAGCATAACAGAGAAACATGGGTGGTGTGGGCTCCAGACAGCCCTTGCATGAGCCCAAAATCACACACGCGACCTTTCTTCGGGAATGTGTCAGGCTGTGGAGGATTTTACGAGAATCCCAACAAAAACCAACACCACAACCAACTCAACCTTTCCGGGTCGTTCCTAGCAAGATTGCCGTCGAAGTTTGTTTAGTCATGAGGGGAGACGTGTCGGCTGCTTCTCCTTGCTCCAAAGGGAACGCATCTCTCGTGCTTGAGCAAAAACATCACATATTCGATCATATTCGAACACTTTCTACCACGGCAATGCAACAGAGCTCTGCTGGTGCATTGTGTCAGGGTTTTCGCGGTTTCAGTTTTGCGAAAACGCGAGTCAGGGCTTTACGACACGACAACAGTAAGCATCGCAGCTACAAGAGCAACTGCAACAGCAGGAAGCGCATAGCATGAAGGGCAAGACAAGACTAGTCATCGGAACAATAACAAGAGCAAAAGCATCATACTTAATAATAATGACGATATTGGTAATAATCGTCGTTTTCCCTATGATTACAATAACAACAACTGCACCAACCGAGCCACCGACCGACCGACCAACCAACCAACCAACCGCAACCAACCACAACCAATCACAAGCAACCACAACCAACCACAACCAGCAATAACCAACAACAACCAAGAACAACCAAGAACAACCAAGAACAACCAAGAACAACCAACAACAGCCGACACCGGCCAACAACAACCATCAACAACCAACGACAGTCAACAACAATCAACAACGACCACCACCAACAACAACAACCAACAACCAACAACCAACAACCAACAACCAACAACGACCAACAACCACCACGACTAACAACAACAACAACAACAACCACAACCACAAACAACAACCACAACAACAACCAACAACCAACAACCAACAACGACCAACAACCATTACCACTAACAACAACAACAACAACAACCACCACAACCACAAACACAACCACAACCACAACCACAACCACAACCACAAACAACAACCACAACAACAACCCACCAACAAACAAACACCAACCAACAACCACCAACCAAAACCCAACAACCAACCACAACAAAGCAACCACAACAACACCGACAACAACAAC